CGAAGCGCAAGCGGCTGGATCTAGCTATTCCCGGCGCCGAGCAGGAAGTCGCAGATGTGATGCCTGTGGCATTAGAGACGGAGGATATTTCAGAGGAAGTTCAGCGGCGATTGAAAATCAAGGAGGAGCGACGCAAGAAAAGAGATGCTAAGCCCGAAAAGAGGAAACGGGATAGTCTTGCGTCGAACGGGAGTGCTTCTGCCTCGTCGCCTGGCGGTGTCGCGAGGCATAGGAAGAAGAAGGTCAAGACTAGTGATGCGGGAGAGGAGGAGAGTGCTGCGACCCCCAACTCTCTCTCGCAGACATCAGGTGGCAAATTTGGAGGGAGAAAGCGCGACCCAGAGATTTTGGACGAAAAGACATCGACGTCAGAAGTGAGAAAAAGACAGCGAAAAGCTTCCTGAGCTGATCTGCGAGTTCCATTGGACGATCCTGACTTGGTCTTCTGTCTTGTCGTTCTATTTTGAGCCAGAAGCCTTTTCTCAAAGAATGGAACGAAAAGACGAAGAAAAGCTTGTTGAGCAAGTTCCTAAGAGTTCTACTGAACGGTATAGAGCTGGTACGCTCGCACCTTCCTTCTTCTACTTCTCTCTCGCTGCCTAGAACAGTATACCTTACAGAAGTCGAAAACATATTCAGGAACAAGAAGATTGGTAAACGCTTGCTCAACTCAACTCGTTTCTGTGGGCTCTATTGGGGGATGCGGATCTTCTATGTTCTGTCTCTCCGATGAGGTCAGCGCGCAGAAAAACCATCAAAGTCAGGAACGGAAAAACAGAGTTAAGCTCTTCGAGTTGATTCCATGAGTTCGATTGGATGACCCAGAGCTGGTATGTTGTTTTCCTTCCTTTCGAAGGAAAGGCACTGTCTAAGTATGATGTATAGAACAAAATGCTCAAGCTTCAACCAATCATTAAAGATGTAGAATAGTGGAACGAGAGCTCTGAGGAAAATTTCTCCATGCGCGTGAGTACGAATCCTCGAATATGATTGGGGCATTCCCTGCGGAAATGCAAGTTGACATGCTATTTTTAGGTAGATCCGTCGCTGATAAGCTTATTTCCCCGGAAATTTCAGGAACAGGAAATGTGGTACCCGTACAATCTGGGGGAATCAAGGTGACAACGCACCTTCTCGCCCACGAATCCTGAGAAAAAGAATGATCTCGAGCGCTCTTAGCTCTGGTAGGCATGGCTGCCTTCATGTCAACCGTCTTTCTGACGCATTTACTGCAATGGAGAGCCACGGTCTCGACGAGGTATTACATCTTCTCTTAGAGCTGCTCTCGTCCATAAGAAGCTCGTCAATTTGCCCCAGGACTCTCTTTGATTTCTTTTCTTCTTCAGTCCCAAACCGTGTGCTCAGTTACTTGCTACCATCAGGTATCAAGTGACTATTCCAGATTCCAACTCGAAGAAACCAAAGAACACCACAAGAGCTCTTTATCACATTTCCACACCGCAGACCTTCACCTCACGCACCCACTGGCTATACGCGTCTCTCAATAGGGGCTGAAATCGGAGCGTTGCTTTTCAAATCGTTTTTGAATTTTCAAACTTTTGGACTCCAAAAAAAACAAACAAAGAGCCAAAACAAATCTGCTTTTAAATCGTTTCGCAACTTTTTTTTAACCTTTTTTCACTCACGAAGGAAATAAAGGGATCCGTTCTGGAGAGTAGGCACAACCGACCAGAGCCGATAGCAGTGGTATTCGCCAAAAAGACTTCCGCATCACCTTCACTCTCTTGAAGCTGTTCTTCTTTGGTAACCTTTTTTTCCGAGGAAGACCAAAAACCCAATGGCTTCCTACACCAACGGATTTAATACTTTCGGTGGGGACATGGCCCGGTTTCTTCAAGCTTCTGCTTCCAATGGCCACCAACCGAACGGAACTGGACAATTTGGCGGTAACACCAACCGCAATGGACATGTAAGTGTCTGTCTCTCTGGTGTGATATGTACTCGTTGCTAATTGGCTTCAGGGTCGCGTGAATCGCAACCAAAATGTAGCTATTACTTCCTCTTTCCCCTGTTATTTGAGGCACAAAGCTGACTTCCTCTAGTCCCCTCGTGGGAACAGACGGCGAGGAGGAAACGCTGGCGGTCAGAGATTCAACCAGCAGCCTCGTCGTTCTCCTCATACTCCTAATCCGAATGGGGCGAACACTCACAAGCGTGGGAACCATCCCAGACGGCAGGGTAGTTCGCCCAACAACAGACAGCCTCGGCAAAATGCGGTACGTTCTTTGCTGTTCGACTTCTTATGACTATGAAGCTGACAAAACAATAGGCGCCTAGACACCCGGGCAACAACAACAACAAGAACAACCACCACCAACAGCGTCGTGCACAGCAGCTTCGTGCTGCTTTCACACGCACCCGGGATGGTGACGTTGTGATGAGGGACGCATTTGTTGCACCCATCACGGCCCCGGCTGAAGAAGATAGAGACGTGGTCATGACAGACGCCCCTCCCCTCCCCGAAACGGTAAGTTCCTGTCCTAGGACCAAATCGAGGTTTACGATCGCATACTTACACCTTTATAGAGGGCCGAGTATCTCGCTCGGGGGGCTTTGGCAATGAACTGGATTGTGAGTTCAGTTCTTCCGCTACTTTGAGAGCAATTGCTGACGATTTCTCAGGCCACAGCCATGTTGAACCTCGCTGTGAACGACGAGGCTCAGGGGAGCACCACCACCGGCCTCCAGGTGGTTGGTGCCCCCTTCTACTTCTAAATTGTCTTTTTTACTTCCGGGGGGCGCCAGGGCAGCCCTGCAAATTGTCCATTCTGGGCACTGGAACGCCAAACCCTCCGCGAACCTGACATACCTCGGGACGTAGGCATTGGCAATGCCGCGTCCCACCCACCATTGCTTGACTGCTTGTGATGCCTGACGGGAGAACAACAACAAAAAACGCATAACCGTTCTGACCGGGAAAAACGAAACCTCCAAGAAGCCACAACATCACAATTACAAAGAACAAAACCAACGAACGAAAAAGGTTTCACCTGCACACACCATTTGAACGATGCTCTTGCGACTGCTGGCCGCCCTATTGAGGGCCCCAATAGGTGTCGGCCGGGTCGCCTTCGTTCACGACTTCGACTCTCTCTCTTCTCGAATGTCACTTTTGGGCTAGCAGCGTCAACATGGTGGTTAATCGTTCAAATCGTCGAAACAACTCATCCGATCCACAAACCAACAACCGAGAAACGTTCAGTCGAGTCGATACAATCAATCTGCGGCGACAAGCCAATTTCATTTCCAAATTTACAACCTCAACGACTACAACAACCATATAACAAGCCTTTGTGTTGAAGTCAATCTACCTTCGCCTTATCGACTGCTCCGATGCAGCGACTGAACATTCGATCGGACCTCTTCGACCTCCAGTTACCGACTGAACGATCAGTCAAAGAACAAAGTGAACAAGGGAATTGGCCGGCGCCGGCCACGGGATTGGAAAATCCCCGCGGAGGAAACTTTGAAGTCTCAGTCAAGAGACATTTTGAAACATCCCATCAGGGGATTCTTGGGGAAGATGTAGTCTCATCCACATGAAGTGGGAGACACCTTTTTTGTTTGAGAGAGGATTGATCCAAGTGGTCAAATCCGTTTTATCGAAGTTCTTTCCACATGAAGTGGGAGAACAGTTTCATTTTCCTGGGGAAGAAGGAGGGACTGGCTTACAGAGACCAGCTGCTCATGAGAGTTGAACGTTCTCACCACAGCAGTGGGAGGACATCTTTCTATCTGGGGACGAAAGAGAAGGAGAGACTTGAAACTTTGAAAATCACTGGTAAAGGCTGATCAAAAGACAAAAAAAAAGACAGCTGGAGGACTGATTTGTGATATGGGTTTCTTGTTATCTTGATGTATCCCGTTCAAGGTTTTTACCTCGTTCACAGACAAAAGTGACGAGGATGTTTTCCTTGATCCACTGCCCGAATGGGGGGATTTTCGTTGTATGTGTTGACTTTTGTTGACTTTTGTTACCTTTTTTTTCTTCTTTTTTTTTACGTTTTGAATGGAATGCTCGAGTTTTTCCTTTCAACTATTCCTCTCTTACTTTCAAGTCGACTGTAGAGTGTAGATGTGGATGTAGATTGTCCTCAGTATAGTAGTAGCTGTCCTGTGCTCTTTACGGGATAAAATTTGTCTCTTGCCCGTTCCTTGGGCTGATTCTTAGTTCACTTGATACTAGGAAGCTAATGCCACATTGATGAAGTGAGATAACTGCGAGCCCGCTGGCCGCTCCGAGAGACTGGACGCACCCATCAAAGGTGCATTTGTCCGCTTCTCGGAGACCATAGGCAATTGTCCGCGTAAGTAGTCATCTAATATCTGGCCGTCTTTCATCTTTCTATTCCCTCGTCCACTCCTCCATCCCCATCTTGATATCTTGCATCTTTCCGGCCAAGAGAGTCCACTATGACCGTACACGAGCTGGTTTCAGCCCCCCAATATAAACAACAAGCCACCTTTTTAGAATATTTATTCGATGAGCTGCATGTGATTTGCCAGCTGACCGTACCTCCGGGGGTACTTTCTGCCTAACGGCGACCTGTGTTAGTTGGTGCTGGCGCTAGGCTAGTCCCTGAAGCTTGGACTAAAGCCTAGTCTCTAGATCGTACAGCGAGTTTAGCCTGAACTTCACAGATGCGTCTTGGGTTACATCCGAACCCATGCTCTAGATTAACTCTATATTAATGAGCTCCCCTCCTGGAACCGCAACCTTTTTGCCTCCACTAGTCTGCACTGATGACAGACCCCTTTCACATGTCCCACCTAGAATCGCTCCCGGATGAGCTCCTGCTGCTCATCGCCTCCTTTGCCATGTCGCAGCCCACCATCGCAGCATTGGCTCGGACCAGTCACCGTCTGTACTCGATCTGCGACCCCTTATTTGTATCGGTGGAACGTTGCCCATGGCCAGAGCTCGGCCGTGTATTGGGCCGCGGAAAATGGAATTATGGTCACATTTCAAAAGGCGCTAGATGCTGGTGCAACTCTGCCAGTCGAATACTCCTATGGGTATTCTTGCTGCAAGGGGCGGCCACGAGGCCATTGTTCGTTTGATCATTGAGAAGGGAGCGAGTCCAGACATGGTAGCTCCAGAAGGGTCAACCCTGCTCTCGGTAGCTGCTTGGAATGGCCATGTCGCTCTTACAAGGACCTTATTAGCCTTAGGTGCACGGCAGGATAACGTATTACCGCCAAGTCACGCCCTGACAGTTGCGTCCCGCCGGGGTCACAAGAAAGTAGCTGCCATTCTGCTGCCCGACCTGGAGAACAATTACAATGAAGCTTTGGGTGACATGATAAAGGTGGAGGCACTCCTTGTGGCTATTTCGAATCGCCATAAGCGATTGTCCAATTACTGATTAGCCATGGAGCTCTAAACTTCTTTCCGGCGTCCGGGAGACTCCACTAAACACCGCTGCCGAAAATGGGGATACAGATATACTGTTGTTGCTTCTCAAGCATGGAGCCGACCCAAACAGAGTTTTGAATCGGCATGGGCGAGTAGGCCATGCTGCGCCTACAAAAGCGGTTTTACACAATCACGAAGAAGCCGCTCTCATTCTGGTTCAGCACACGGAGCGTCTCCACTGTACGCGGGCGTTGTCGATCGCGATGCAGCAAGATGACAAAGGATGTTTGAATCACTTCTCAGAAAAGGGGCAGCGCCTGACTTCAGCCTGTCTGATCTCGCGGGGCATTCCGAGGAAGATGATTTGACATATGAGTGGGTGCAGCCTATCGTCTACGCGGTTCAAAGCCAGGACACGCGCTTGGTGGAAATGCTTCTGGACCACGGAGCAAATGTCAACGTGCAGTGCCCCGGATGGCCTAAAACAGGATACGACGTAGTCTACAGTCATGTTCTCTTCTGGCTGTGGAGAAACAGCGTGAAGCAATGGTTGATCTTTTACTTGAGCATGGCGCAGACCCAAACGTTGTTGATTTGGCCAATCAACCTCCCGCTGACCTACGCTAGTTCATCCGGAAATGGGTATATCATAAAGTCTCTGCTGGACCATGGGGCTAACCTGTGCCGAGCAGTAGACAACATGGGCAAGAGAGTGTTGTCTTACAAGGAAGTTAGCATATCCATTCGGACTATGTTAGAAGAAGCCGAGAAGAATTGGTCTGGTGAACCCTAGCCTCCAATGCTTTCCTCCATGTTCCCTTTGTCGCTTTTGATCACAAATGGTGAGTTCTCGCAAACAACTAGAGGAGCGCATGATCACTGAACTGACTGCAGCTTCTTTAGTAACTTGGATGCTCGATATTCTTGTCCGGGCAGTTAACTGACAAAGACCAGCTGATGTTACTGTTCATATGTTATATGATGGCGTTGGATCAGCCCTTACCGAGTGCAAGTACCGGTGGAACCTGGTACAAGGGTACCATCCTCAATTCCATTACTTAGAACTATGTCTCAACCATCAACTCGCGCTGTACAATCTACCTCAGCTGCTGAGAGCGGTGGTACGCCTCCAACAGTGTCTAGACGCAGATTAGCAAGATATACCTACACGCAGTATTCTATAGTTATCATATCCAGACATAGGAGGATGCTATTCCCAAGCAGCTCAGGGACAAGCAGAAGAAGGGAGAGAAATCCAACTAGGAATTGTAAAATAGTCCACATAAGTTTCAGTCTCGTTCTTGATACGATCTGAGTGGCAGGAGATACTGGACTCGGAAGGTTGAGCCCATGTCTAGCAGTCGCAATCTCTTTGCCGAACTAGGGCTGTACAAGCGAGCCCCTAGAGAGAACGGCTTGATTAGGCCTTTTTTAGCGGCACATGTAGCCCCTGAAAGGTGCTGTCTTCTATTTATTGAATGGCGAACCCTCCGTCCCCCGCTTTTTCGCAACCATCGGGTGGGATTTAACGGCCCCAGTTCTGATAAATTTGGCAACTTCACTTTGAGCTGGTAACTGACATCATTGGCCGTGCCAGTCAAAATATGGCTGAATCTGCTGCTTTCAATGGCTTCAATGCCTTCACTGGCTGGGACACATACGCGTCTCGAAATCAAGATGATCGTACCACAGCCCCTTTGGCTCGTCAGGGCATGACGCCTCCTAAGCACCTTTCATGCGCACTGTACATCCCACGACACGACGGGAGCACGTCGCAAATGACTCTGTACGATATAAGTGCTCAGTACGCGGCTGCCATAGGCGGCGTTTCCATCGGATCAAGCGAATACGTGGTAGCCCTGGGTTTGATGCAGAAACCGGGCAGCAACGGTTCGAACGGCGCTTCTGTAGCATACGACGTGACGTTCAGGGTACAAGGACAAGGAGTTGTGGGTTTGGTTCGATGCCAAGAATCGACGGCGCAGGAGCCGCCAGAGGTCGAGCTGTATGTGCAGTACAATGCGTCACCTATGGCTCATGAAGTATAACTTAAGACTAACGTAATTTGCAGAGCCATTGCCAGCGCTGAAGACACGGCCGGGATTCTGACTTGTAAGGAGTCGGCTACTACAGGGCCAGCGGCCACAGAGACTCGAGTGTCTATCTCCTATCCAGTTCTCCCGTCGCCGACAAGTAATGTTCCTCATCAAGCACCCTTACCTTACTTCCGTGTAGCCGCGGAATCCTCAACCTGGGAATGGCAGACGCATCCCCATCACCATGGCCGTCTGCGCTACACGCTTGTTCGACTCCCAGCCGAGGGCCAGTCGGCTGACGCCCGCCGGGAAGAAATCCTTGCAATCTACAACCACGTCGGGGTGGCGGCGTCCGTGTCGCTGCCGTATAGTGAAGGGGTCCTTCTTCTTCCTCCCCGAGAAGATCCTCGAATGGAAACGATGGTGGTAGCCAGTCTCCTGGCAATGCTCTGGCGTTTACGCGACTTGAGCGGAGCAGAGGGAAAGCGCGGAGGCAGGGTAACAGAATCAATGAAGAAGCGGGTTAGTTCCTTGAAAGGATTACTGGGGCGAAAGGCATAGGTGGTTGTGCTCTTTTCCTGTAGGAGTCTGTGGCCACCTTGCCAATATGCATTTAATAAGATTGAAGTACGGCCATGAAGAAGCACGCAAAAAACAAAGAAGAGTCCTTACGGAGTCAACAGGGTATCCCGTCTACAGATATTCCTGTTCCCACAGCAATGACCATCACCGTCACCACCATCCTCCCTCCTCCTCAGATACATTATACACCCAATTTCTATAGTGGGTTTGGCCATAAACTATTAAACTCCTTATATTTTTTTATACTATTATCCCTAATCTTAGTAGTATTTAATGCACTTAATTAGAGTTTCTTTATAGGGCTTTTCTTCTATCTATTACTACTCAGCCAGGGATTGCTTACGGATTGCTCATGGATTACTCATAGAAGCTTAGGGCTCCTTTAACCTACTATGGAGTTACTCACTATAATCCGCCATTGTTTTGTGCCCACTGTGTCCTTTAAATATCTTAGGGGTGCAGACCTCATTCTTTCATCTTACAAATCTTACTATACTTCCATCCAAAAACCACGCAGGAAAGGAAACCCAGGAATTATGAATAGGTTTTGCTCCGTAGCCAACAGAGCCACCTTAAGGGCACTCGGATCGCGGTTTGGCACACTTTCAACTGTACATCGCTTCTCCTGCTACTTCGCAAGGCTCAGGTTCTCTACTCAGAGTATGGACTCTACGTCTCGGCCAAGTGATATAGCCTTACTGGATGAATATCTCTCGCATCCCGACCTGAAGCCAGGTGTTCCCTGGGGCTTTAACATCTACCGCTGTGACTACAGCAATGACAAGACGTGGCAGCACATGCTGCACCTTATTGATGAAACTGTCCGCAACGCACTGGAGGTTAATGACGCGATGGACCTGTATCCACGGTACAAGCCAGTTCTAGTGGATGATAAGGAGACCTTAGAAGGAGCAACCTCGCATGATGTCCGCGATCATTTTATTGCTTGGGTGGCTGAGGAATTGCCCCGGGTGGTATCGCAACCAAATGAGTTCTTCGCACGGGAAGAATACACCTCAACCGGCCTTCGTCGAGAATGGAATTTGGGTACGCGATATAACTTTTGTCTTTTTGTGGATGATATTTGCATTGAGTCATTAGATGAGATGAGGTATCCTGTGGTGAAGTTGCTCTGGGGACAATGGGGAACCTTGAAGCCCCATGAACGAAACTATGCTGTACATCCAGAATATGAGGATGGTGAGACAGATGAGGATGATGAGGATGTTGGCTGGACGTATATGAGCATGGATGACTATATGCATTACTACGACCGTCTGAATGAGTACGACTGGTGGTATAACTACTACGCGCGGCCGCCCTACATGATTGAGCAGTATGGGAAAATTCCAGGATCATGGAGGAAGGGCTGAACCATCTATTCAGCAATTGTCTTGTTCGATTTAAATATAAGCTATATCTTCCTGGCAGTGCGGCCTGACAAATGTGACATGTCCTGTATTTCCCCTTGCTATCCATGCGAGGCTGGCTGCCTGTTCTTCGACTTCCTGAACCAAGATACCAGCGCTCGTCTGAACCTCTCTTCAAGCTGCTGGAGCAATCTTTCCACCGTTTCTTCGTCCAGATATAGCGTCAAGTTCGTGCCGTTTCGTTCACCCCAGAGTCCATGGTCTGCACTTCTCTGTGCAGCTTGGCCAACGATTCATCGCCCACAAAGTCCACTTATATACCTTTCAAATTGCGTAGGGATCCTGATTTCGTGGCGCGATTGACAATTTAGGCGTGTCCGAGTTCGCCTTTATATCCCCTTCTCCTATGGATGTTTCTCAGGAGGTATGGGAGATTTGGTGGAAATGAAATGAGGATTTGTGTACGCCAGGTCGAGTACTGCGGTGGACTGAAGCTATTTATCAGTTTGCAACATACATCCTATGTAGTACGAACAACCAAGACTATACTTTATTTCCAGCACTATTATACCCTTGCATTACACTAGTTGAAATATGGCATGTGTAGAGAGTCCACAATTTAGGCACACGCAGGTCTTTATGATGTGCATATGCAAAGTTGCACAAGTAATATAAACTTTTTGCCAAAAGTATAAGATAGTCGACATCAGTTCAGAGTGTCATGACAAGACTTACAACATTCGAGATCGCATCATATACCAGGATCATCTTATTCTTTCTTTCAAGCGCCTTATAATGGTGACAATGAATATTGACATGCAGGAAAAGATATCTTGCATATCTCAACCTTGCAGTCACGTCTTCATCTTCCCACATGCTATCAATATCTCCCTCGCCTTTTCCTCTCCAAAGGCCTTGAACAAGGCTTGCCGGCCTGTTGTTCCTTGGTCGTCAGATATATCCATGTCGACCCCCTGCTGAAGAAGCCATTGAACCACACTCTCATCTACAAAACAGGCACGGTGTAAAGGCGTGGCGCCGAATCCATCCTGCGCATTCAAGTTTGCGCCGTGAGCAACAAGCAAAGTTGCTTCATGCATTTTATCGAAGGTAATTGCACAGAAAATGGGAGTTGTTCTGAACACATCATTTGAGTCTGAGGCTAGCTCCACATGGATCTCATGCTGGTGAAGTTCGCTTTGATGTGGAGTCTCGAGGTAATTCCAACTTTTCGTATTCAACACTGATGTTGAGGCGACGGCAGAAACATTTGCATTATGCTCCAGGAGGAGTTCAACTAGAGCTGCTGACCTTTGAGGTTCCTGGCCTTCGGGAGCACAAAAAGCCGCTGCTTGATGAAGGGGAGTAAATCCCTGTACGGTCGCAGCATTGGGGTCTACGCCTGCATTCAGCAGGTCTCCCACCACGTCTATATGATTCCACTGGGCTGCGAAATGTAAAGGAGCCCATTTATAGATGCTTGTGGCGCCAGCGTCAAGCCCATTGCATAGCAAGGACCGCACCATCTCTGTCTGGCCATTTTCCGCAGCATAATGAAGGGCGGTACCTTTAGTTCTTGACAGGACTTGGAGGTCATCTTTGCTCTTGAGCAGCAATTGTAGACACTCTACTGAACCACCAAACGCTGCATAGTGCACGGGGCTCGAGTCAAACTCATTTCGAATTTGGGTCTCTGCTCCCGCAGAAAACACTGCCTGCATGATATCTCCTCTAGCCGCAGCAGCAGCAAGGAATAGTGGTGTCTCGCGGGCATAATTCCTTACATGGACATCCGCCCCTGCAGCAAGGAGCAGATTTGTCATTTGTGAGCTTCTGCTAGCTGCAAGATGCAGCGGAGTTTGCTCGTCAGCGTCCTTGGCATTAACATGAGCCCCCAGGCGGAGCAGTACCTCCAAACAGGCAATTGCCGATGCTTCATCGTCCACCGTACATGCACAGTGAATTGGCTGGCGATGGTCAAATCCAAGTGCTGATTTGTCTGTATATTCCACCGGAGACCCACACTCGGTAATCAGATACTCAATGACATGTGCGTGGCCCCTGACACTGCTTCGTCCAGTGCTGACAGGCCGTCTTCTGAGCGCTGGTGCGGATCAGCGTCATGACGGATTAGTAATTTGCAGGCCTCTAGGTTGCCATGAGCTGCTGCCCAGCTGAACGGCGTATGCCATACTCCTCTCTCAGGATCGATGAATGAATGGGGTAGGGGGGCGCCGGCCTCAAGTTGTTGCCTTAATGTGGCCAGGTCGTTGTCCTGGGCGGCTTGTTGCACAGTCCGAGCGGCAGTGATATTTCCTGCATTCATTATTAGGAATAATGCGCTGTTGTGCTCAAATGCAGGGGGTGAAACAGGAGCCTGGAAAATTTCTTCAATAGGCCTTGTGGATGCTCAGGGAAACGAGCGAATGACTAGTGAAGGGTTTGAGCTATCCTAGAATGCCTAGATATAGTGACTGCCTAAACTTTTAGGCTACCAGTGGGCAGCCAGGTGGATACACAGCAAATACAATTAGCTGATAGAGGGCTTTCCAAATAAGGTAGTCCAGAAATATAACAGAAATTGCAAAATCACAAATATATATATCTGAGGTAGAATAATAATTACTAGGGTGCGATCACCGACTCCTGAACAGGGCACGGCGGCCTCTAAGTGAGCAGGCCCTCAAGTGGACAGGATTAAAGTCAATATTACCTACATGACCTGAAGTCACTAAGAGCTGAAGTGTACCCAAATCAAAGCAGTATAACTAATGGTTAACAGATCCTGAAGTGACTATGACTAATAGACACACTCTTAGGTTAACATGCTCTAAGCTTGAAAAGGCTTCAGCCTAGATTATACTTATCCTCCATTTAACAATTATTCTCAGTTTTCATACTCACTAAAGATGAGTCAGATGCTGCCATCATCCACTCAAGTAGTAATCTATGTAGTAATCACTACTATGATTGAGTCATGCTCTTGTTGCAGTAGCTGAAAAGCAATCCTGATCGGCAGCTTACCCCTCCCAGAGCTGTTCATGTTTGTCATGTTAGGGCTGCGAGGCAATCCAACAAGATTAGGCCAATGCTTTATGGGCAAATACAAGAAGTTAAGGCTGCACTACTCGTGCTTTGTTCATACTTTGAAGTGATCATTCTTCTCACTCGAGTCTCGAATTTCTCCCTCACTCAAACCCTCATCGACGCCATGGAAGACACTCCCAGCATGATCACTCCCAACAAGGACTCAACCCTCACATTCCGCGAAGTCACCGAAGAAAACTGGCGTGCGGTGGCAAACCTGAGCCTTAAAGAGGGCCAGGTAGGAAACCTCGCTCCCAACGTCTGGTCTCTCTGCGAAGCCCATTACTCCGAAGACGCGTGGGTACGAGCCATCTACGCCGACGAGACGCTTGTCGGCATGCTCATGATGGCAATATGGGATCCTGATGAGGCGTACTACATTTGGCGACTCATGATTGATGGCCGGTATCAAGGTCTTGGGTACGGTCGCCGGGCCGTAGAATTCGCGATTGCACATATACGACAGCACAACCCTCGAGCAAAGCAGTTGGGGGTGATGTCCACGCCGCCGGAAGGGAAGATGATTGCAAATCCGGCGAAGATTGTGAAACCTGAAGATTCGCCATATAAGTTTTACCAGAAACTTGGGTTCAGGCAGACTGCGCCGCCAGATGAAGATGGAGAGATTATGATGTCGATAGACTTGTAGATACCAATATTCGCCAATTGCCACTGGCCACGCGTCAAATTCACAAATTCACCAAAAATGAACAAGTGCGTGTTCAATATCCCTCTCTATCACTACAACAATATTCCGCTCTTGCACCTCTCCACTAGGAACAATTTCCGAGCGCGGTAGGACATTTAGTCAGGCTCTCTAAGCACCCGCTCCTGGATCATAAGAGAAGACCGGCTCTTCATCACGCAACAGAGATTGGATATCTCCGTGCGATGGGGCTATTACTGGCAAGATTGAGCACAAGCCTCAATGACAGGGATGTGGACAGGTACGCGCCTTTACATCTTGCCGCAATCAATAAACGCAATGACATAATCGAACTTTTGAGTGATTAGGGTGCGACCCCCTCTATCACGGATAAGAAGGGTAGGACAGGCTTATTTTATGCCGTCGAAGATTTTGACTATAACACGGTGCAAGCTTTGATCCCCCAATGGGTGGACGTGAACACAAGGGATTCAACAATGCGAAGTCCTCTTTTTGTGGCGGCAGAAGAGCTTAACGCCGAGCTGTTGCTTTGTTAATTGGACATGGCGCTGACGTCGAAGCATGTGATAAGTATGGATGCGCAGCACTTGATATGGCCGCATTGTCATTCTTACAGACCTTCATGTCACCCTGAGCTACAGGTGAACTGGTCACGGAACTCTCTACCTGCCCATTGAGCATGGGAATGTCCTGAGGTCGGTTACTTCTACAGCTAGTGCAAACCTGAACTGGCGTATTGATCAGGCTCCTTATCCAAATTTTGGCTGTCCGGCTCGGCAATTTCGTCATTGCAGGGCTACTCGTCCTTGGAGGGACCTCGACCGACAAGGGACCTGAGGAAACGGATTAACTCCCATCGTCCGTAGCACGTGTCTACAGAGATAGGCCCACCATTCGTGCCCTGGAAATTGGAAAGAGTCTGAATTACCACCTTTTTCTTCAAGCTGCGCAAGATGGCCGTACAGATGACTTGAGATCGCTGGTGGATAACGATGAACGACGACCTCCCCGTATTCCTTCGATGATGGTTACGATAGCATGCATTTTCGGCCACGCCGAGGCCATAAACGCCCTAATTTGAGCATCCTTGACAGAGCTGTGAATAGCAAGAACCGGGCATGCCCTGAGACCTTTGCAGAGATGATTGTTTAGCAACTCGTGCGCTGCACAAAACAATTGCAATTGTACTCCGTAGTTCATACTATCCCCTGCCTGTTCAGCCAAAGCTGGATGAATACGAACCAGCGGGCTACAAAAGGAATATTCAGTACTATTCAACCGTTATATCATAGTAAATGAATTCTGCGATTCAACAAATTCCACGTCAAGTGCCACCTGTAAGAAAAGTGGCCGTGTCTGCCAGTGACCCCATTGGCTTGAGGCTATCATCGACCAACGCCAAACTCCAAAACCGTATATACATGCTTATTATCATACACTTCAGCCATAAAACCACCACCACCCGGACAACATTATTCCTTTTTCGACTCCTCCTTGTCCCCATCCTTCTGCCCCCACGTCCACACATCCCAGATATGCTCCTTGATCAAATCCCCATACCCCTTCCCCTCTTCCAACGCCTTCTGCTCCTCCCTCAGCCGCCGCTCCTTCCACCCCTCCGTCTCCCCACCCATCCAAATCCGCTCCGCAACCCCCTTCTCCTGCGCCTGCCTCGCCTTCAACTTCTCCAGCTCCTCGCCCACCAGCCCTCCCTCGCGGATCTGCGCCTCCCGCGCCGCACGCAGTTTCGCCTGGACTTCCTGCGCCCGCTGGCTGGGGAGATCGGGTATGGCGAGCGACGGGGTGGAGGTGATGCGCGCCTCGATGCGGTCGACGATACTGCGCCCTGTGCGTTCGCGGGTGAGGTGGTTTGCGGAGACGCAGAAGGCGCCTGCTAGGAGGACGGTGAGGTGGTCTAGTTTTCTTGGGGGGAGGGCGATGAGCACAGGCGAGGCGACGAGGAAGGTTAGGGCGGCGTAGTGTTTGAAGCGGATGTAGTCTGCTTCTCGGACGGAGTGCATGTCTGGTTCGGTGTTGTTTGTGGTCATTTTGATGTGGTGGATTGAGTTGGACCAATTGAGGTTGTGGATTCGGAAGAAGCGAGCTTGTTCAGGGATAATCTGAATTGATTAGAATTTTGATAATGTTGTCAGTTTATTTGATTTCTGAAGACTGTGATGTCGATGATGGTTGATGCAAAATTTACGGTGGCCGAAGTAGCCATAGATGCAGTCCTGGCCAGCATTTTTCTGCTGCCTGATCCTTCAGGCACGAAAATTCATGGTACATCAGAATTCAGACAGTACTTCGCAGGCAACACATTCGAGGTTAGAAGATGGGCACATTCTAAATCACTTTCATATATTGGCCCAGGGCATATGAATCTGAATTGTTCATTGACTGTTAGTTTCTACCGGATGGAGCTGTTATAGAGTGGTTAAACCCAACCCGGAAACCCGAACCCAACCCGGCCCGAACCCGCCTTGGGCTGGGTTCGGGCCTGGGGGTCCCCAACCCAGGGGTCGGTTGGGTTCTAAAAACGGGTTTTAATTACATTACCTAGTAATTAGAATACCTTAAGTGAAAATCTGACTTAGGTTAGATTTCACTATTTCTATGGGTATACCTTAAGGTAAATATATATATATATATATAGTGCTAGTATGGTATTGAAAAATTATATACATACTAACTAGATTAGGTAGGCGGAGAGTTGATTTTTCGGCAGAATAGAACCCAACGGGTTGAATATCTAGAACCCGCTGGGTTATGGGTTGGGTTTGGGCCCTAAAAAATTAGAACCTGAACCCGGTGGGTTGGGTTCTAAAGATAGGGGAACCCGGCCCAACCCGTGAAAATAACAACCCTAAGCTGTTAACGCATCACCAGTCCAGGATTGGAATTGATTAGAGTTGCATTTGATTAGAGTTGCATTGGTTATCTTGGCACTGTTTTGCTTAGTAATCAGTATTTTATGATTTCCCTATAAACTTTGATATCACTAGATAGCCCCTGATCTAGGCTACCTAGATATCAAATATTGATTCAAAATATCTAGTGGTTGCTGAGATATAAGGGAATAATCATATCTGTTATAGGTTGGTATGAAAGTGGTGGTGATATATATATATATGGTACTAATCTTTGATAACTACTATGATTTAAAAATGTTTTTTAACCACCACCTATTCAACCCTATAGATATCAAATTGATATTTCAGATCTAGATTAGTATGATAATTACCATATATTTTATATAAAAATAATAATTTTATATAAGCATATTTGATAGGCCCTTGGCATAGGCGGATAGGCCTAAGGTAGGAGAAATTGAAATCTAAAAACTATTGAAATTTTGAATATTGCCTAGGCCTACTGCTAGCCTAGAGAGGTTAGTGACTGCCTATCTAGGCCTAGTGGTGGATTTTGCGGTGAAACTCACACCAAACCACTCAGGGTCGGATTCGATTTTAGCGGTTTGGTTATGCAACTCTACCAGAGGGATTATCTACCTGGAGAAGGATATTAGCCATCTCTTGTACATGAGATAGCCTAGGGAGGACTCTATACAGATCCCTAGATAGTATCCATTCTACTAATGATTCTTCTTGTGTAGGAGATAGTCAGTGATTATAGCTGTGTTGTTCAATTCAATATTAGCATCCATTCAGTTGATCTTAGAGGGTAGATCTAGGCATGTTAAATATCTCTGCAGTGCAGTGAATGCTTGAAATTTCATTCTTTTTCAAAGCAGATATTACTAGTTGAATCCTTCCCTCTTGCTCCACCAATTTTCCAGGGGTTTAACGCAGTTTTAATGGCATTTTAGTTGATTTGGATAGCTTCAGGATTCAAGCGCGTTGAAATTCAATGAGGGTGGCCGGCTCACCCAGGAATTACATTACTAGTGTAATCCATTTCAAAAACTGCTCTTAGTCCGCATAAGCGCTTACACACTGTGCTGACTCTTGAGTCTTTATTAGAGATAAAGAAATTCACTGTTTCTTTGCTAATCTATATAAGAGTAACAAGACATCCTAATACACGTGGCACGCAGCACGCTAACAAAAAAGGACCAAAAAAAAAGCCAGTAATCTGCAATGTGTTTGTGGCTTTATGCCAACAGAAATTTGGACATGAAGACCATCACTGGCGCGCAATGATTGAAGCTAGTTAAAGTGATCAATGACACTGAGAGGCCGGAAGAATCCCGATTCCCATCGAGCCCCAAGGTAAGCTCACCGAACTGGCCTAATTTCCCGGATTGTGGGATTCCTGGCAGACAGATGTGCCTTGGGTAATTGTTCAAAAATCGGGACATTTGGGGAGAGGCTAGGATATGGCAGACTACTGAAAGCCGAGTGTCACCGAAGATAGAGTACCATTGTCTCCCGGGTAATAGCTAGTGCTAATGCGGTCAGCAAAACAGCAAGAATTGGATGTCTACCCTCGGTATGAACAATTACAAACCCGTGGGACAAGCATTCATTTGATCGGGACCATGGCCGATCGAGGACCTGTGTTATTACTGGCACGGCTATGTCCGTTCAGATCCACGTACGCCTCTTCCAACTAGTGTGGCTGGCTGGCTGGTCGGGGCCTGGAAGCTTCATAGAGTCCGATTTGTCTCACATTCGTACATTCAACTCTCTTGGGAGCTGATGTCGCCGAGGATTCCACCAATTCAGAGAAGGGAGCGCCTCTATTTTGCTTTTAGCTGCAGAACTGTTACCTTAAGTGCAGATAACCTTCCCCACACATATACGACAGCTCTGGACTTGCATGGGGCCATGACTCGGCAGGTGTACTTCAGACGCCGCAGCAAATCAAGGCAAAGGTGAACGTGAAAGGATTGAAGCATTAGACTAGTCAATTGGCTCCCTGCGTTACCCATAATAGGCAAGTTTGTACTTCTACGTTTCCCCTTCACCGATTATTGGCTAATGCTCGGCCTTGGACAGCATAGCTTCTGCTGGGAATGTAGCAATAGTACCCGCGTATCTCAGCTGTATTGGATGGCCGACAGAGTCGATGTACAAGATATACTTGGGCATAGGGTGTACTAAAAATGGCTCAAAATACACAACATCGCGAGTCTGCAGTGCCAGCCATATAAAGCACAAAGTAGCCGGTTTCCAGCAAGCTTGCTCGATCGGATTCATAAAGACATTGGTATTTTCTATACTGCAGTAATAACCTTCGCAATGCATCTCTTCACCCCTTCGGGCTCGTACTCATCACCAATGTGATCGCTACATCGCACCCCCACGCTCAAGTCCCCATCTGCCATCAATGTGAGGAGAAGAAACCCGCTCCTCCGATTCCACAATGCGGACATAATAACAACCGTCCAGAGCTACAATCAGGCCAGTGCGCAACAACATACAGGTGCTCCGGCCACTGCGGTTCAGTGGCCATCCCGCACCTCAACACCCAGACCCTTGAATGCGACTACGCAGAAGTACCTGTAGGACCAGATGGATGCACCATCGACCAGTGCTACGATCCGCCCGAATGTCCCAGCGACTGCAACACCAAGTCAGAGTCGAACGACGTCTGCGTCAACGATCAAACCGGCTGCCCGGCAATGGATGGCTCGATTCGGCGATACGGCGGCAAAGACTACATCTACCGCTGCAACAAAGGCTTCTGCACTACGACCGTCAGCTCCATCAGCAATACCGATACCCTGAAGGAGTGTGCAGAGAAATGCTCGCGAGATCCGGCCTGTAGGATGGTCTCCCATCACAAGAAAACATGCACCCTGGCTACGACAGTCGGGACGGTGGAAAACGTCCCGGGCTCGGTTGTCCTCGAACCCGTCGGCCCCTCGCCAAATACACATGACGGCAACGACTGCGCGCGTCTCCACCAGACTCGCCAGACAATCCACGGATCGAGTTCCAGCTTCACTGCGATACACGTCTTGCTGACGCGGCATCATGCCATCCCAAACCGGCGGCGTCATATGAAGACTGCGCTGCGCAATGTGCGGCAGACTCCCAATGCGCCAGCGCCACGTTCTCCGGCGGCCATTGCTGTCTATCGGACCAGAAAGCACACCCTTCGAAGGAGACCGGATCAATCGCCTTGGAGCCACTTCCCGGCTACGGTTGTCCATACGTTGACTGGGCGGTCAAGGAGATTGGCGGCGTACACTACGAGTACCATTGCAACGCCAGGCTGGAATCCGGCGGCAAATGGACTCAGGTCCATGTAGCTAGCGAGATGGAGTGCGCGCTACAGTACTCCACGAATATCCACTGTACTGGTATTTCTCTGCGCGGGCAACAGTGCTATCTGGCTACGGCTCCAATCCACCTCCAGCCAAAGGGTAATTGGGTAGCCTTGGTACCGGTGAGCAGTCACAAGCAGCCCAAGGAGCCCAAGAAGCCCAAAGAGGACGGTCTTCAGGTCCCTGAGTGTAGAGTCTCACATGGGCAGTTGGTCGCCTACAAGGGCCACACCTACTCAATTAACTGCTATCGGTGGATTGGGGGTGATGGGTTCGCCACCGCTACCAAACACAGCCTGGCCGATTGTATCAAGATGTGCGCGGATTATGCCAATTATATTGCCCTGCACTATCTCCCTAGTCAGAAATCCTGTGCCATTCACGACAATATTCCGGGGGTGGGGACCCAGGGAGACTTTGGGGTTGCGTATGTTCGGAGGACTAGTTGATCGGAAGGCGACAAAGACGGGGGATGTGATAGGGCAATGGGGGTGGGTTGATTGAGGGGGATTATCTTACTCTGGAGACTGAAAGGGTAAAAGAACAGCTATGGTTTTCTGCAGATCGCTAGGAATGTTAAATACTTTGCTTTAGTAATCTTGTTTCTACATGCAAATATATAGATGTCTAGAAATAGAGGCAATAATAGACAACAGAACATGTAGTCCAGTAATTAGCTGCGCTACTGAGGTGTTCCTTAAGACCCTTAGAGATAATATTCTGTGAATACAAGGTTATACCTCCTGTTGCCTTCTTTTCAGTGTTACTATTCGACTTTCCCATAGTTTATAGGTCTGCCGTGCCGCCTGTGGAGTCTAGTGCTGGACATTCCGCCATTCAGTCAGCCAGAGACAAACACACAGGTTCACCATCGAAACCCACAGCTAAGAAAAAATGAGGAGCTAAATCTACAGAAAAATACACATGCACCTTCATCTGCAGTTACTATTAGAGGAAGAGGCATGCGCAGCTCATTGCATACTTTAAACCCAATGCATCAGCACTAATAAACTGCAGGCACTGAACTCCGCGTCAGTTATTCTAGATAGGACAAACATATCCAAATGCTGTGTGGCAAATGACTGTACCAGACTGGGTATATATATGAGCCACCCCGATGAAGGTGTCCAGCAGTAGATTATCAACCACAACATTACCTCAATTACAATTTCTCTACTCATATTTCACTTCATCATGGAGAAATCCTCTTACCTTCAACTTACGTGTTCCAGTGGGAGTCCAGGTAGTCTCACATTTGATCAGCAAGAACACTATTATGGAGCAGTTCCTCTTCATTTTAAGCTTCACCCTCAGAGGATGCAAGTACAACAAGTATCACAAAGAGATTAAATCTTTCACTAATGGCCCCCTTTTAGGCCTTAGTTATCTTAAGCTCCAGGGCACTCTGACCCTGTTCACTAACAAAGTTGCGAATCAGATTCTTTTTGGACTTATGTCCAAGTTAGCTGCCCTGACCGGAAAGGTATCTCCTCCTAATATAAAATTAAAGGCCTTATACACTAATCATCTCCGATCCACCCAGAACATCCAAATTCCCAGCATGCCCATGATCGATAACATCAGCACAGTCAACACCGAGCCGTCCAAAGATACCCCCAAAAACCCCGCTAAAGTTGAGACCAAGAAGCAGCTCAATGAGTTCGCGACCAAGAACCTAGCTAGCTTCCCTCAGTTCTCAGAAGACAAGATCCAGGAAATTACCAGCCAGGGCAGCCACCAACATCCAGGGCATCACCACTAAGTCTAATATTCCAGCAGAGGAGATCCCTAAGGCGGCCCAGCTGGCCTTTTATAACTTTACCATTCTCTATAGTCGTCCCCCCATATACCTCAGGCAAATTATAAAAGTACATGGAAGGTGCAAAATGCTAACAAATAACAGATGACAGCAGTTCCATGACTAGCAAAGAGTCCTGTATCCCAACAACCCAGGAGACCATCTGGGGTCTGTACAAGGTTGCTAAGTCTCTTAACCCTGACAACAAGTTCTCGGTTCACTCATTCAAGGGGTCGGACTTTGATAATGTGGCTACTGAATCAGATCTGACCAATGTTATCTTAAGCATGACCTTTAACACTGGTGCCAACATTGCCCAACGACTTAAGGACAAGATCCTAGACCCCTTGTCTAAGGCTGCTGTAGAGAAGAAGCTGAATCCTACTGTCATGGTCATTATCACTGATGGAGATCTATTCCCCCATTTCCATTCTTTATCCTTTTGTATTCCTTCGCGAGTTACTGACATACACCCAGCTCAGCAGCAGCATACCTAAATTCAGCGCGCAAGTCACAAAGTTCAAGTCCCAGCTTGACAGTGCTAACGCCACTGGACCCACTATCTTGTTCTGTCTCTGCCATGTAGGCAACAACCAGTCGGCAGCAGGGTCTCTCAAGGAGTTGAACACAGATCCAGCCATCAAGAACTTGATCTTGTACAGCAAGGATCCTATCAACACCAAGCTCCAGAGCATTGGTGGAGACAGCAATGCTTATGTCAGAGTGGTATGTTTCGTCTTCTCCTTTATACTTTAGGCTATGCTGACCAGGACAGATTATATCCGACCTGATCAAGGCTCTGGATCTTTAGGCTGTCAATTAGTGGGCTTGATTGGTTGACTTAGGACTATATTTATACTAAACTCAGTCGGTACACAAGACATATGGCTGGTGTGCATTGCTTTTAGCTACTATGCACGAGCACATAAATGGCAAAAACCCACACTTCCTTTGTGTATCCTACCCTCACATGGTATTTGAAATCTGGATACTCGACTCAGAGGGCCAGAATTAGGCTGGTCGAAGTTGATCCCATTATCACTCTGGGCCAATGAATGTACATATGACAGATCTCCACAGATCTKATTTTATTACCTAACTAGCAAGATTCCCATGCAGTAAAAAAATGAGTGAAGGCAATTAATTCCACTTATTTCTGAGGAGTGGCTCTCTCACTATACTCTTCTCGATTAGTTTCCGAAACCTAAAAGGCTATCTCTAGTGAGCCTTAGCTAGATTAAGGGTCCGGAAAGGTCTACCGATCGCTCAGCCCACACATTTCCGGAACCTTACTGAGCCAAGCCAATTTCTTAATCTGCGTGGCTTTCAATATAGGCATTAATGATTGTTGCGCAAGAAAACAACCATGTTACTTGGAATTTATGAAGCACCAGAGAGTATATATATACACTAAAATTAGAGTCCTAATGATGACAAGAGCATCAGTATCATGATAGAATACATCATCATCATATATTCTGTCATAGATCTTACCACCTAGAGTAGTCCAGTAAATGAAATGTATTGTATACCAAAGACCCAGGCTATCAAATGATCCATGATCTAGAATGGTATATGAACCAAAACCATGCTCTTGGTTCAGCACCATTCTGCTCCTACATACAATTGCTACTCCTGCTTTCGACCAGATCTCAAGTTTTTTCCCTGACAGATATTCCTTCAAACGTTACAAATGGTTTTACAATGCAATCCTTCCACCATAAAGGACCAGCTCCCATGACTTCATCATGCGTCTATTTGTATTCTTTATGGTCCTGTCTCCAGTGGAAGTTTCCAAGCCTTTTTCCTTACAAGCATCAGAAGCATCATTTTAGTGTATATGTTATTTTGAACACAAAGACTCAGAAGATTATTATATTATATTTATATGCTTAACACTGGGTACAAAAGGATCAAATATTCCATGTCTGGATACCCATGTCTCAAATATACTATGTCTGCAAACACTATAGGTGAGTGAAGGATATATATACATACAATAACTCAACGCTTTAAAAGACCTTTTTCAAACACGTTATCAGCTGTACAATATACTGAACTTTTGGTTTAATACTATCTCTGTGCACGTATTATACATTTATACTACTATAAGGATGCAACTATTAAGCTGAACTATTGCTAAATCTTGTCCATAAGCTGGCAGAACCACCGCGGCCTTACCACGGAAGAACTTGACCTCTACAAAATGCAGCCTGAGATCACTGTTGTTCTATGAAGGGTTATGTTCTTGCGGCCCTGCCTCTATTCATGAGTCTTCTACGGAGTGGAAAAATCTGGTTATATGCTTTTTCTATTTTTTTTCTCAACCCCTGTGGTATGTTAATAATAGTAATGTTCGATAGGCCAAGAATATATCATAAGCTACCAATAGCTTCAAATAAGGTGGCCGAAATGAGTCATGAGCGGTTGTAGGGCGCGGCAGAGCACGAATTGCGTGATATCATTGGCTAGCTACTGTTAACCACCAAGAATTGGCTGTCTTAAGACACCGTGATTCGATTACATCCAAGGCGCGCATGCATGAGGCTTGCGCTAGTGCGCTCTAACGACCCAAAGAGGCAGTGCAGTATAAGCAGGATTAGCGTTGTTTGCTAAGATTGAAATAGCTGTGACCCCCCACATCAGCAAACACAACGCTGGACTGTCATCTATACCCTTCACTCATCTACCTGATCCACAACGCACATACGACCTGCTTCATGGCACAGCGGACCTTGATCTTGTTGATACCTTTAGTTTTGATACGGGGTTCCCTGGCCGCCTATCTACCCAAGTGTAATACGACTATAACAATTCCTGATGGCGTTACTTACCATCCCGAATCGCAGGATATCTGCACCCAGACCTCATGGACGGATGTTGTTTCATTCTTCGTTGGCAATTATCTAAGTCATGTCGCAACTGTCGTCAAGGCACCCGGCGAACCCCTATATGTAACTGCTTTGAATATGTTCTTGGTTCTATTATTTCCTTGCTATGGAACTGGTCGCGGCCTCATCACGATATACCAACGGGCAAGCTTCTACAAAGACCCGTTGCAGCAGGCGCTGAAGGCCCAAGCGTTGGTTATGGTGATTCGGGATCAGGGATGGAAGCCGCAGGTTGGAGATTCCATACGTTCGCTCTCTTTGTATCCCCCCAAGGAGGTTCAAAGTACACGTGCACAATTGGATTACGACTACTATAGAGCCGGTATGTTTTATCACAACGCAGAGTAGCATCCTCTCTACACTAGGCTAATCAGTCGATTTTCTTTTTTATCTCCCTCAGCCCTCAGCAAGAGTTGGATAGAAGACCATGTGGAAAAGATGTACGTTACTGAAGATCCTTGGATGCTGGATTCTGTCTGACAGCCTTCTTATAGCAAGGGCTACGCAGGGCCGTTCAAGCTAGTCACCGCAATTCCTCCGTGGCTGACCATGCATTATGGATTGAGCAACCAGCACATCAGTGTGAAAAGAGGCTATCACATCTCTGGAGCATGCGACCTGCCGGAGGGATATCAACTGGCTTACGTCCCGCCTAATGCGCAGGTGGAGCATATCATGCCAGAGATCGCACTGCGCCGCATCCTCCAATCATCATATAGCCTAGCTTCTGGTGTCATCTCCATTGTTCAGATCTTCTCCGCTTGTTCTGCTCTGTATCAATCCAGAGGCCATCAAATCACAGCCTATGGATACGCGGCGTTTGGATTTACGGTTACACCGTATTTGGTGATGTCTTTTCTGAATTTGCTCGCCAATTGTTTCAACCCCAGTTTTCCAAACCTCTACCTTGTTCATACAGAGGTCATGGATGAGGCAATAAGCCGTGGCGGCCATTTCACTGATATTGTTGGCAAATTAGAAAGCGAGCCGCTTGTTGCTGAGGATTTGACCGTGTTTAGTGCTTCCTTTAAGCAGCGTGATGACCAGCTTTCATGCCAAATCGCAAATCAAATGTTCCACCATGGGAGCACGGAGCCAATTCTCGTCAGCACTACAGATGATGACAGTCCGGAAAAGGACGCGAAGCATTCTGTCAGTGAGACGACAGGTAGCTGGGCTTCAGCGGCTGGTCCTCTGAAGAGCACTTCATTTCCAGACAAGGAAATAGCACAGAAGCAAGCAGTGGCAGGCGAACAGGACTGCAGGCATGAACAGCCTCAATGTGAGCATTCAGTACCTACTTTGCTTGTTCCCGGCTGCTACAGATTCAAGGTAGCCTACTCAAACACCTCATCTACAAGCATTCTTCACAAAAAAAGACACTATCTTCCTCGCGGATATATTTTCGCTGGCTTGACCTGGGCATTGGCTTCAATAACCTTTATTCCACTTGGCGTAATGTCAAAGTTCCGACCAGGGAACAGTACCTTCCCCCAGAGAGCGTGGGTGATGGCTTGGTATGCTGTAGGAATCGTGTCTGTTTCCAATCCTTATTACACAGACATCTTGGTGGATGTTGTCTATTATAGGTCTCGCCGATTGATAAAAGACAAGGAATATGACAGTTTTCGGCGAGCCCGTATTCTGTTCATTAGGGCGGCTAGTATCTTAGCCATCATGATCTTTTATGTGACTCCGGCTATTGGCGGCTTTGCTGTGGTTGGGTTGATGTTAATTGCATATGGATCTTGTACAGGACTCTGAATGCTTCCTCTCATCATCTTGACTATGACAATACAGAACAACCTCGTCTTTACCAAATGTATAAAGCAGACAATGCAAAGAAAACCACTGTCTGGGGTCTTTCCACCCTCCTAATCCTGCCAAGTGTATCTGCTGCCTGTAGTCAGGGCCTCCTGGAGGTATGCCCCAATCTCAACAGCCAGTGGTCATACTACCCTATTAGTATATTATAGAGTTGCATTTGGTGCGGGTTCGGGCGAGTTCAACCTTAGTTGGCCACAAACCGCTGTGATTTCGGGTTCAAATTTTAGAAATTGAACCAAACCCGGACCCGGTGCGATTTGGTATACTCTGTAGTTTTAACTACAAAACCTACCACTAGGCCTAGATAGGCAGTCATTAGCTTATCTAGGTAGGTGGTAGGGCTAGGCAATATCTAAAATTTTAATAGTTTTTAGAATTTAATTTCTCCTATCTTAGGCCTATACCTAGGGCCTATCTAGTAAACTTATATAAAATTATTATTTTTATATAAAATATATAGTAATTATTATTATACTAATCTAATTCTAAAATATTAATTCAATATCTATAGGGTTAAATAGATGGTGGTTAAAATTATCCTTAGATTATACTTCTCAAGCATACGGATTTGAGGAATGACAGCTCAAAATAAAAAAAAAGATCTACACTGTCGATGTGCCTAATCACGTGATCTCGTGGTCTATTCAGTAGGACGCTCCTATCTACATACCGTCGCCGTTGAGTCCTTCGTTTTTCAGCAAAACATGAAATGACGCTGATGGTCATAGTAGAACATGGCCGGCGAGGTAATAATGTGCCTAGCTAGCCCTATGAGACTGAGAAACACCTAAGCCTTCGGCACCGCCAGTATCCTAAGAATAGCCCCCGCCAAGCTAGGCAAAATGGAGCTTGAGCAAAGCTTAAGCCACAATCGAGGCAAAGACTGAAATTTGACCCGTGGTTTCACCGCATCATTGGAAATGAGGTTGCCTAACTGTGCTAACAAGCCACAAGGATTGTGGACCTGAGACCTGAGACACGGAGAGACGGCTCAGCAAGCTTGTCCCATGCTTACTGTATTTTCACTGAGCGATTTGCTGATATCCCAAGATGAAGCAAAATATACAGGGATCATAAACGCCTGAAATCATGTTGCCTGCCACGCACTTTTTCTGTTGACATGTCCCGGTAAACATGCTATCGCTCTAGAAAATGCAGCTTCAAAGTCTTTTAAATAATGATGCGACATTGAATGAAGGATGAATTTAGGGTACGCCCATCAGAATCATAAAAATGGTCAAAGAAGGCTCCACCGACAACGCAAGTCGGCAGGGCTGAGCGCCAAAGAGCGTGGTTTCTATCTGTGCCATGAGTGGTCCACTCCACCCCGACCATACCTAATTTCCTCCGTATTCGCTGTTTCACTGTTGACTTTCCAATTCGAGCACTGTAATTTCGACTATTAAACTTAGTGGCGGTGCTATTGTACTTTTATCTTCTACCAGCGCTTCTACTGGGGAAGCTTAGGTTCGCAAGTACATAAACCCACCTTCTCCCGTACCTGTCTTCTTTCCCATCCAACTCTCTCCGATCTCTCCACATCTTCATCCTTATCCTATCACGCACTTATTTCAACTCTACTCTCTCTTACAAGTTTAACATCACCTATACAACAAAATGGGCCTCTTCGACTTCTTCAAATACTCCAAGGACTCTGCTCCCGCCCAGCAACAACCCACCTGGGACCCCAACACCCTCACCATGCAGCAGCCCGCTAGCCCCGAGGCCCCATCCACAGACCGTGTTGTGGCCGAGCAACCGGTTCGTTTCCATCCACCAAACTCATCCTCGCAAATAGGAATAAAATACTGATCGTGTCTACAGAATAACCAGGAGGGCATGAAGATGGAGCTGCGCGGTGGTGGCGCCGGAGATGTCTGCTGTGGAGTGTAAGGCACCCGTTTTACTAGCACGACGTTGAAATTGGCTAACGTGGATTAGTTGCGCCGGTATCCTCTGCTTTGAGTGCTGTGAGGAGTGTTGTTAAGCATTGTTATCGCTGGCTTCGGGACCTCGGCTCATAGGATGGAGGTGATGAACTACGAATTTATGGTTCAGGTAGCCGCTCGGTTCCTGCTGATGTTGTTTGCCTTGGAGTCTTTTTGGCAATGTTGTTTTGTTCTACGATACTCGTTATACCCATCGCTAGCTGATTGCTGGTCATAGAGAATAAATTCTTGAATATTGCTAACTTTTTCTCAATATTGTCCATTGCTTTGGGGAGCTTTTTTTTCGTTTGAGATTTCACAGACCGATCTTGTAAAACACAGTCTTGATCAAGTTCGCCTGAATGCTATGTCGCAATGGCTATGAATCAATTGTATAACCATTGGAATACTTGCTGCACGTCACCTACCTCGACCATTGCCAAGGAAGCTAGGAAGTAAGTAAGAGGATGGTACCCATGTGTCTTCCAACTACCACTTGTTTTTCTCAAGGTCAACGCCAATAGTGGTGGTCTTGGTCAACTCCAGTTTTCCAGCCTCATATTTCACCGTTCCATCTGGCATATAGCCCGCCACCTGAATAACTCCGGCGCTCACCTCGTCGATGATCTGACTGAACCGGGAGTTAGCGTTGATATGGCATCTTTTGGTACTTGATTCGCAGTGAGCAACCAAAGCCGCAGCGGTCTTGAAGATACGATGACATCCGGGACACCTAGTTTTTATTAGTAGTTGTTAGCATTCATTCCAACCGAGCCAGGTCACCAATACATACTCCATGCCTCTTGCGCCCTGACTTTTCATCAACATATGCTCTTCGAACCCCTTCATGGTCTTGAAGCGTGCTTTGCAAGGACAAACGTATTCCCCGCTGTACGAGTCGAAAAAGTTGGTCGGGTCCCAGTTGTGCTGCAGAAAGCGCAGGATCTGGCCAGCATCCGGGGCTCCCACGTCAAAGGGACGCTCATTCTCGTCTTTTTCTTTCTCAGATTCCGCAATGGTTATGAGCCTCCCCTTTCCCTTCCAGTCTCCGTCCCCGGCTTTGTCGGTGATGGCAAGCTCAGAGAACGCCATCAGGTCAGCAGGCGTGGGGTTATTGGTTGCTCTCGCTTGGGCAGCCGTCTTGAGCTCTGGCCAGTGCTTCTGCGACAATGTAGCTGAACCATCATCTCCATGCTTTGGCTGGTTTGCCATCGCCTCGCGGTTGTCGTATTCCAGAGGATTCACCTTGACACCGCCGTCGACGTCGTCCAAATCGCCTGGATGGGGCATGATGGGCAGGGGCGAGCTCACGCCAACTCCCAGAGCCTGCTTGATCATGATCTTCTTCGATCTTTCCTCGATGAGGCGCCTCTTGGTGATCTCGGGACACTCGTCGTCTTCGATGTGGCGCATAAGACCGCTGGCATTCTTGAAGAGAGCCTTGCAGCCATAGCAGGTCAGAGTTTGCTCGGCACGGTGGTACTACGCATCCCTCTCAGTTAGTATTCGCGTGTACAAAGGCCAGTGGGTCGAGGACAGCGTACCTGGCGAATGTGCCCGTCACGACCTCCTTCGCTTCGGAAATCGACGCCGCAGATGGGACAGACGATGTGCTTGTTGCTTTTGATCTTGTGGATGAGGTGTCGTTCCTCGTTCTCAAAGTCTTCGTCGCAGCGGGTGCAGTATTCGTGTTCGGGAGCGGAACTCTTGTGCTTCTTCATCTCTTCGACGGTGTTGAAGCGGCGAGGGCAGTCGGGAAAAGTGCAGAGCACTTTCTTGGGTGTAGCTGGGTTAGGCATTGTTGATAGTCTTTTGGAAGGTGGGAATATGTAGGAAAGATGCGTATGGAGGAGAGTAAGTGCAAGGACCAAGGGAGCTTGTCAATTAAAGAGTAAGTTTGCACTGGCAAGATGGGGAGAAGAAGTAAAGGTAGAGTCTGCCTTTAGCCCTGAAAGATAAGTGAGAGAAAGTGAAATCTCTTCTAAAAGACCTCACTGAGAGTGCTCGACGTGCCGTGTACCAAGGGTCTAAAGTCATTCACTTGTTTTCATGACCATCTTCTGAGACTACCGGAGCTTGCTAGAAATGCCTGAGGATGGCCCGCTAGCCTTGGGCAGTGCCACTTCTGGTCCTTCCTCTTGGGATCTTTCGCTTGGACCTGGACTTGACGTGAATAATTACCCAGGTACATGACAGATCTTAACTGGCCCTACAGTACTCTTCCTTGCGTTCTCCATTAACGAGACACGCCAAAGTATGAGCCCTACAATGAGTGTGATTCAAAATTATATGGACATACTGCAATAACGCAATACATCATGATCCTAACCATACACATTCTTATAGAAGTGCTACCATATATTATACTACCTCTCAGCTTTGAAAAGTCTTACTTTCACTTTGACAAATATTACTCTCAATTTCATAACACATCCCCATCAGAAACGGGAGAAAGGCAACCTGCCATTGTCAGCTTCATCCAAGGCTAGAATACGAAACTCACCATTTGCCCCGAAGAGTAATAACAGCCCAATTATTCCCATCTGCATCCGTCTCCTTCTCCACCTTGGTCGAAAACGAA